ACTGGGGGGACTGGGGAGTGACTGGGGGGACTGGGGGCACTGGAGGGGACTGGGGGGGAATGGGGGGGACTGGAGAGGGACTGGGGGCCACTGGGGCCACTGGGAGGAACTGGGAGCACTGGAGTGGAGCACTGGAAGCACTGGGGGGAGCTGGGAGCACTGGTTGTACTGGGAGCACTGGGAGCGGCGCCGGGCCGCCAGGGGGCGCTGTGAACTCCCGCCAAGTCTCGCCTCCTTGACAGCTCGCCCATGACGTCACAACCCCGCGCCGCGCCGTGACGTCACTAACGCGCCGCGCGGTGCCGGCATGGCGGCGGCGGAGCGGGACGAGGAGGCCGCGGCGCCGCCACAGAAACGCTTCTACCGGCAGCGCGCGCACTCGAACCCGCTGGCCGACCACACCCTGTGCTAGTGAGTGCGGGGACCCCCGGGAACCGCCCGGGACAGCCCGGAACCCCCCCGGTAACACCCGGCCCTGGGAGCCCCGGGACCCCGGGACGGCCCCGTGGGGCCCCGCGGCCGCCTGGAGCAGCCGGGCTGGGTCCCCGTCCCCTCCCCATCCCCTCCCGGTCCCGCCGTGCCCCCCGGTGCCCGCTCCGGTTCCCGGGCGGTGACGGCCCGGTGCCCGCAGCCCCTCCCGCCCTCAGGACATGGACTGGGCCTCGCTGTTCCCGAGCTTCTTCCCTCCCGACGCCCCCCCCGGGACCCCCCCGGCCCGCGTGGAGTTCGCAGATGTGGGGTGCGGCTACGGGGGGCTGCTCGGTGAGCCCGGGGCACCGGGGCGGGCACCGGGGTGGGCACTGAGGGTGGCACTGGGGGTTTGGGGTGGCGCTGGGGCACAGATCCCCCCACGACACCCCTGGGACCCCCTGAGGACCTTCGGGACCCCCCTGCCCATCCCGTGGTGTGGGTGAGCCCGGGGGTACCGGGGGCTGCTGGGGGGGCACGTTGGGCTGGGGGCGAGGGGGCACCGGGGGCGAGGAGGGCAGGGAGGGGCACAGTCGGGGCACGGAGGGCCCGGCGGGCAGGCGGTGCCGCGGGGCTCTCCCTCGGGGCTGTCTCTCCCCCTCCCTTCCCTCCCTCTCCCTCTCCCCTCCCTCCCCTCCCCCCCGCAGTGGCTCTGGCCGATCTCTTCCCGCGCTCGCTGGCGCTGGGGCTGGAGCTGCGGGCCAAGGTGGCCGCCTTCACCCAGGCCCGGCTGCGGGCGCTGCGGGCGGCGCAGCCCGGCCGCTTCGGCAACGTGGCGTGCGTCAGGGGCAACGCCATGAAGCACCTGCCCCACTTCTTCCACAGGGCTCAGGTGGGGCCCGGCCGCCGGGGCAGCGGGCGGGGGGCGGCTGGGAGCCCTGAGACCCCCAAACACAGCGGGCAGGGGGAATTCTGTGTGCTCTGAGCCACCCCAATACCCCCAAACCCAACAATCCCTGGGATTTCTGTCCTCTGAGCCACCCTGAGAGCCACAAACACAACAATCCCTGAGATTTCTGTGCTCTGAACCACCCCAATACCCCCAAACCCAACAATCCCTGAGATTTCTGTGCTCTGAGCCACCCTGAGAGCCACAAACCCAACAGGCAGGAGGGCTGCTGAGTACTCTGAGCCACCCCAAGACCCCCAAACCCCAACAGTCACAGAAACTTCTATGTGCTCTGAGACCCCCCAAACCCAACAGGCAGGGAGATTTCTGTCCTCTGAACCCATCCCTGAGAGCTTCAAATCCCCGAAACCCAACAGTCACAGAAACTTCTGTGTGCTCTGAGCCACCCTGAGAGCACCAATCCTTGGGATTTCTGTGCTCTGAGCCACCCTGAGAGCCACAAACCCAACAGGCAGGAGGGCTGCTGAGTACTCTGAGCCACCCCAAGACCCCCAAACCCCAACAGTCACAGAAACTTCTATGTGCTCTGAGACCCCCCAAACCCAACAGGCAGGGAAACTTCTGTCCTCTGAACCCATCCCTGAGAGCCCCAAACCCCACAGTCCCTGGGATTTCTGTGCTCTGAGCCCACTCTGAGAGCACCAAACCCAACAATCTTTGGGATTTCTGATCTCTGAGCCACCCTGAGAGCCACAAACACAACAATCCCTGAGATTTCTGTGCTCTGAACCACCCCAATACCCCCAAACCCAACAATCCCTGAGATTTCTGTGCTCTGAGCCACCCTGAGAGCCACAAACCCAACAGGCAGGAGGGCTGCTGAGTACTCTGAGCCACCCCAAGACCCCCAAACCCCAACAGTCACAGAAACTTCTATGTGCTCTGAGACCCCCCAAACCCAACAGGCAGGGAAACTTCTGTCCTCTGAACCCATCCCTGAGAGCCCCAAACCCCACAGTCCCTGGGATTTCTGTGCTCTGAGCCCACTCTGAGAGCACCAAACCCAACAATCTTTGGGATTTCTGATCTCTGAGCCACCCTGAGAGCCACAAACCCCAAAACCCAGCAGTCACAGAAACGTCTGTGTGCTCTGAGCCACCCCAATACCCCCAAACAAAACGGGCAGGGAAATTTCTGTGTGCTCTGAGCCACCCTGAGAGCACCAAACCCAGCGGGCAGGGAGATTTCTGTCCTCTGAACCCATCCCTGAGAGCTTCAAATCCCCGAAACCCAACAGTCACAGAAACTTCTGTGTGCTCTGAGCCACCCTGAGACCCCCAAACCCAACAGTCCCTGGGATTTCTGTGCTCTGAACCCACTCTGAGACCCCCAAACTGAGCAGTCAGGGAAATTTTTGTCCTCTGAGCCACCCTGAGAGCCCCAAACCCAACAGTCCCTGGGATTTCTGTGCTCCGACCAACCCTGAGAGACCCCAAACTCACAGGACCCCCCCAAAACTTCCTGAAGTTTCTGTGCCCCCTGAGAGGCCTCAAACCCAGCAGTCCCTGAAATTCCTGTGTGCTCTGAACCCACCCTGAGACCCCCAAAACCTGCAGCTTCTCCCCAACATTCCCTGGTGCTTCTGTGTCCTCTGAGACACCCCCAAACCCTCGGGGCCCTGTGGAGCACCTGAACCCCCCCTGAATCCCCCTCCCCTCCCAGGGGCACCCCTCAGCCCCCAGGACCCCTCTGGGGGGCAATTGGGGGGCACTGGGGGGTGTGGGGTGGCACTGGGGGTGGCACTGGAGGTTTTGGAGTGACACTGGAGGTTTTGGGGTGACACTGGGGGTGGCACAGGTCCCCCACAACACCCCTGGGACCCCCTCAGGACCCCCCTGCCCATCCCACGGGACCCCCACCCCCCTGGGCCGAGCTGCACTCACAGTGGGTTTGGGGGGTCTGGGGGGCTCTGGGGGGGCAGTGCCAGGGCGCTGACCCCCCCCTGGTGCTGCCCCCTTGCCCCCCAGCTCTCCAAGCTGTTTTTCCTGTTCCCTGACCCCCACTTCAAGCGCACCAAGCACAAGTGGAGAATCATCAGCCCGGCCATGCTGGCCGAGTACGGCTACGTGCTGCGCCCCGGGGTGAGCCCCCAGACCCCTGAGACCCCCGGCGCCCCCCCTGCACCGCCGTGTTCCGCCGCCGCCCCGACCCCCCCGCGGCGCCGTGACCCCCCCGCTGCCGCCGCCGCGTTTCCAATAAAGCCGCCAAACGTCGCCACGGCTGCTCGGGGCGGTCCCGGTGCCGGGAATGGCCCCGGCCCCGAGCCTGGCGCCGGTCCTGCCTCAGTTTCCCCATCGCAGAAAGCCCCGCGGTGGCGGTGCCGCCCCCCCCCGCTCCGGGGGCTTTCCGGTGCTGCCGGCCGGGAATTCCCGGGAATCCGGTACCGGGGGGGTGGGGGAGCCGCGTGTGCCCCCCGGGACCGGCCCCGGCACCCCCAAAGCACCCCCGGGGGCTGCGGCCGGAGTGGGGGTCACGGGGGGGTCACCGGGAATTTGGGGTACCGGGGGGGTCACCGGGGAGGTTCTGGGGTGCCGGGAGTGTCACTGGGGGGATTCTGGGGGGCTCAGGGGTTTGGGGGTGTCACTGAGGATTTGGGGTGCCAGCGGTGTCACTGGGGTTTGGGGGTCACCGGGGGAGTTCGGGGGTTCTGGGGGTGTCACCGAGAGGGGTTCTGGGGGTGTCACCAGCGCGTTTTAGGGTGCCGGGCTGTCACTGAGTGGAGTTTGGGCTTC